GGCTCAGATGTTGCAGCAATATCTCATTGCTCTGAAAGTTTCCACACGCTGACTCTCCGGTTCAGGATTTATTTTGTTGTGCATGAGGAACAAAGGGGTCACAGAGTAGCCCTGACCCCCAGCAGCACCACACTGTTCCAGAGAGTCAGTTAGAACTCGGTGAAATGCCTGACCATGACCTCCTGGCCTTTTGGAGAAACCAGATGGGCACTGGCTGGGAGAATGGGAAGGGCTGTGTGGTTGCCTGGACTTCAGGCTGCGGAGGCTGGGAGTGAAGAGGAGCTTGAGAGCAAGGAGGGGCAGCAGAGGCGAAAGCAGGGGAAGGAGAGGATCAGAGGCCTGAGGATGGAGACGTTCGGGTCAACAGTTACAAATTGGGCAGGGGACTTAAAGGAGTGGAGAGTGGCGGATGGGGACCATGGTGAGCTGAGAACATATACCCCTAAGAGGTGGCTGTTCCTCAGCGCTCACTGCGTATAGCATGAGGAACGTGGACTCTGTCATCAGATCTTCCACTCTTCCAGAAAAAACCAGAGATCTCTTTTTTTGTTTTAATTTTTTTTTTTTTTTTTTTGAGACAGAGTCTCACTCTTGTCGCCCAGGCTGTAGTGCAGCGGTGTGATCTCGGTGCATTGCAACCTCCACTTCCCTGGTTCAGGTGATTCTCCTGCCTCAGCCTCCCAAGTAGCTGGGATTACAGGCGCACGCCACCACACCTGGCTAATTTTTGTATTTTTAGTAGAGACAGGGTTTCACCATGGTGGCCATGCTGGTCTCAAACTCCTCACCTCAGGCGATCCACCCATCTCGGCCTCCCAAAGTGCTCGGAGTACACGCGTGAGCCACCATGCCTGGCCCTATTATTACTATTTTGAATAGGTGAGCTCCTGTATTTAAAAGTGACCAGGTACTCAGAACCTTGAAAGCACAGTGCAGACCGAGCCGACGCACATCCGTGGCTGCCGGTGTGTGCGCCCTCTCCGGGTGGTGGGCTCGCTGGGGATGAGGCTGGGGTTTGGATCTTGTGGAGGCAGAGCCTGTGTCCTGAACACAAGAAAGCGTGGGATGGGAAAGGCCATTTTCAGCAGCGACTGATGGCGTCATGGTTGGCCAGCCCAGCTGTGGGGGACACTCCCTTTGGGGTCCCCTTGTTACTAGGGCCCTCTCTCACCCTGAGCTCTGGGATTGATGCTGAGCTGCATCTGTGTAGGAGTAGATGAAGCGGTCGTGTGCTCATGCCAAGCTCAGCCCGGGCTCGGCTCCCACTGTCCAGCCATCTGCTGTGGCGACAGGGGCTGGAAGGGAGGGGCTGCCTGAGTTCACAGGAGCCTGCCATCTGCCGAGAAGCCACCGTAACTCTCCCTGGCCTGCCATCTGCTGGGAGCCTCCCTGGAAGGAGAACATTGTTTTCCTGGCTGAGTGTGTTAGTCTTCACACTCACACACGAGGGTTGTCAGCGCCTCCTCCTAGGGCTCTTTGTCCAAGACGTGGTCCCAGCGCTGCATTTGGGGGTGGGCTCTTTACCGCAGATGCACTTCAGCCTCTTTGGATTTTTTTTCTCTCTTGGCAGTGGTGTTCTGAGAGTGAGGTGGGAAGAGAGGACATAGAGGGAGGTGTTTTCTTTTTCCAGCAGAGGCCAAATTGCTCGTATTCCTGGGATCTTCCCTGAGAGCTTGGCAGGGCTGGCTCCTTCGTGTTCCAAGTTTCTGTTCAGATGACGTGAACGGAGACAGTACAAACCGCACGCCCCGCCTCCGCTTCCCTTCCTGTCTGTTTCTCCGCCTGGCTTGACTTTCAGCCTAGCCCCGCTCACTCCCTCTGACGGCGTGTTTCTTGGTTTCCTTCTTTAGTCCCTATCTTTCCCGCCGTGTTGATTTTCTTGGCACATACTGAGAAGGGGAGACAGGTGAAATTTTGACAGATATTGCCAAATTTCTGTCCAAAATAGATCACGCCCATGTGCACGTCGGCCGCCAGTGTGTATGGCAGGATTTGCTTCCCCCACTTGGCTAACCCTGGTTGTTCTCAGTTTTTTGAATTTTGCCTATTTGGGATAAAAATGGTTTATTTTGCATTTTTTGATTATTTACTAGATCGAGCATTTTCTTGCTGTTCATTGGACATTTTTATTTCTTCAGTAAATTGTTGACTTTTGAAGGATTGATGCCTTTTCTTTCTTTCTTTCTTTTTTTTTTTTTTTTGAGACATAGTCTCGCTCTGTCCCCCAGGCTGGAGTGCAGTGGCGCTGTCTCAGCTCGTTGCAACCTCCGGCTCCCAGGTTCAAGTGATTCTTCTGCCTCAGCCTCCCAAGTAGCTGGAATTACACGTGTGCGCCACCAAGCCCAGATAATTTTTGTATTTTTGGTAGAGACGGGGTTTCACCATATTGGCCAGGCTGGTCTTGAGCTCCTGACCTTGTGATCTGCCTGCCTCGGCCTCCCAAAGTGCTGGGATTTCAGGCATGAGCCACCGAGCCTGGCCCAATGCCTTTTCTTATTGTGTCTGGGGGATAGAAAGGGTTGGGGAGCTCTCAGGAAAGAAGTGTCATTGGGACAGACATCCTCCAAACGGGCAAGTTAGGCTGAAAGGAATCAGGCTTAGCAGGAGCAATGTGCTCTAAAAAGAAGCCTCTGTTTCTGAGTTTCCATAATAGTTTATGAAGGTAGGAATGTTCCAGGCACCTCTGGAAGCCTCTATGGCCAGGGGCACAAAGGGCAAGCCACCTCTTTCCCCACTCTCCTTTCATTAGAAGCCTCTGTGCTCTGTAGACCAGCATTCACCACTACCAAGTTTCGTCTTCACTTTTTGATTAGGTAGCCGCTAGCTCATGTGGCTAGGGAGGATGAGGACTGTATTTAACTGAATTGAATTTAAACTTAAAGGCTTTTCAGTGTTTAGTGGTTGTTCTGTTGGTCAGTGTAGCCATGGGTCCTTGCTTTGGCCCTAATATAAAACCTCTGATGTTCTCATGGAATGGCTGTTGGGTTTAGAACAGGCATCAACAAACTACAGCCCTCGGGCCGCATGCGGCGCCCTGAGGCCATTTATCCGGCCCCCCACCGCACTTCGGGAAGGTATACCTCTTTCATTGGTGGTCAGTGAGAGGAGCACAGTTTGTGGCGGCTCTCCAACGGTCTGAGGGACAGTGAACTGGCCCCCTGTGTAAAAGGTTTGGGGACGCCTGGTATAGAACATGCTTTCTTGGCCGGGCGCCGTGGCTCAAGCCTGTAATCCCAGCACTTTGGGAGGCCGAGGCTGGTGGATCATGAGGTCAAGAGATCGAGACCATCCTGGTCAACATGGTGGAACTCCGTCTCTACTAAAAATACAAAAAATTAGCTGGGCATGGTGGCGCGTGCTGTAATCCCAGCTACTCAGGAGGCTGAGGCAGGAGAATTGCTTGAATCCAGGAGGCGGAGGTTGCGGTGAGCTGAGATCGTGCCATTGCACTCCAGCCTGGGTAACAAGAGCGAAACTCTGTCTCAAAAAAAAAAAAAAAGAACATGCTTTCTTGGGTGAGGGAGGTGGCTCATGCCTGTAATCCTAGCACTTTGGGAGGCCAAGGTGGGAGGATCACATGAACCCAAGAATTCAAGAGCAGTCTGGGCAACATAGTGATGCCTCATTTCTACAAAAAACACAAAAATTAGCCGAGCACAACGGTATGTGCCTGTGGTCCTAGCTATTCGGGGGGCTGAGATGGGAAGATTGCTTGAGCTCAGGCGCTGAGGCTGCAGTGAGTTATTGATATGATTGTGCCACTATACTCTAGCCTGGGCAACAGAGTGAGACACTTTCTCAAAAAAATAAATAAATAAATAAATAAATGAAAAATGAGGCTGGGCATGGTGGCTCATGCCTGTAATCCCAGCACTTTGGGAGACCAAGGTAGGTGGATCACTTGAAGTCAGGAGTTCAAGACCAGCCTGGCAACATGGTTAAACCCCATCTCTACTAAAAATACAGAAAATGAGGCTGCGTGCAATGTCTCATGCTTATAATCCCAGCACTTTGGGAGGCCAAGGCAGCTGGAGGTCAGGAGATCAGGTCAGGAGTTCAAGACCAGCCTGGCTAACGTGGTGAAATCTTGTCTTTACTAAAAATAAAAAAATTAGCTGGGCGTGGTGGCAGATGCCTGTAATCCCAGCTACTTGGGAGGCTGAGGCAGGAGAATTGCTTGAACCCAGGAGACAGAGGTTGCAGTGATCTAAGACTGTGCCGTTGCACTCCAGCATGGACAAAAGTGTAACTATGTCTAAAAAAAAAAAAAACCAAAACCAAAAATTAAATGTGCGTGGTGGTGCATGCCTGTAATTCCAGCTATTCTGGAGGCTGAGGCAAGAGAATCTTGTGAACCTGGGAGGCTTGCAGAGAGCCCAGGTTTGGCTGTTGCACTCCAGACTCCAGCCTGGGCAACAGAGCGAGACTTCGTCTCAAGAAAAGAAAAGAAAAGAAAAAAAAATAATCCAGTCTCTCAAGAGGCTCAGACTCTTCTGTTTGCAAGCCTGCCTGTCTCTATTAATATTTCTTTGGGTTTTGTTTTTTTCGTTTTAGGTACAGTTGTGGGTGTTGTTCTTTACACCGGCAGAGAACTCCGGAGTGTCATGAATACCTCAAATCCCCGAAGTAAGGTGTGTATGAGGTCATGGGTGCGTTGACCGTCTGTGTGCTGGTTGCTGCTGTGAGTGAGTGACCAGATATTAAAGTAGGAACACCTAAGAGTGCTGTTTGTACAGACATACTATCTTTTTATGCCTACGTGTATGTGTGAGTGTATACACATAAATATATATACATACGCATATAAAAGACAGTACATAAACATGTAGTCACGTGTTTATGGATATATGACATTTCTTATCCTCTTTTTTGAGACAGGGTCTCCCTCTGTCACCCACGCAGGAATACAGTGGCTCAATTTTGGCTCACTGCAACCTCTGCCTCCTGGGCTCAATCCTCCCACCTCCACCCCCCAAATAGCTGGGATTACAGGCCTGTACCACCAAGCCCGGCTGATTTTTGTATTTTTAATAGAGATGGGTTTTCAACATGTTGGCCAGGCTGGTCTCGAACTCCGGACCTCAAGTGATCCTCCCGCCTCAGCCTCCCAAAGTGCTGGGATTACAGGCGTGTGCACCATCATGGTACCGGCATTTTTTATGCTTTTAGGTTAAACTACGGAGCAGGTGCCGTTTGCGTGTCTTCTGTTTCGTCCTTGACACGCATCATTTCATCCTTATAACAGCCCTGTGAGTGCAGTGCTTTCTTTTATCCATGAGAAACGGCTTCGGGAAGCACCTTGCCCTGTCCAGGCTAAACAGTGAGGACGGGGCAGGCCCATGTGATTCAAACCATGACCCCCATCCCAGCCTACCCCTCCTCCAATTTTTAAGAGTCACAACATCACGCAATAATGTCTTTTGTCAATAATAGGAAGGAATGCTGTGTCTCCCACACTTCAGCTTTAGTCACGCCACCGTTACACGTCACAACCATCATTACAACTATAAAATCAATTGTTTAATGTTTCAACCTTATCCTGGGACATATTTCTGTGAAGTTATGGATATGATATGCTGGTTACTCTTTTAAAGTCTATACATGAAAGTAAATGTGTTATTATTAAAATAATAATGTCTGGGGTCGGGCGTGGTGACTCACGCCTGTAATCCCAGCACTTTGGGAGGCCAGGGCGGACAGATCACTTGAGGCCTGGAGTTCAAGACCAGCCTGGCCAACATGGCGAAACCCGTCTCTACTAAAAGTACAAAAATTAGCCAGTTGTGGTGGCGGGCGCCGTAATCCCAGCTAACTGGGAGGCTGAGGTAGGAGAATCACTTGAACCCAGGAGGTGGAGGTTGTAGTGAGCAAGGATCGCACTATGGCACTCCAGCCTGGGCAACAAAACGAGACTCTGTCTCAAAAAAATAAATAAAAAATAAAATAATGTCCATTAATGCAGCACCTAAAAATCAGGTGCCACCACTGTGGGGTCTGCCTCAGACTTTCAGGCACTACCTGAAAAGTAGTGGTGCTGGGTACGGTGTTAGGAGTTGAGGGTCTGAGTTATTTCACAAGGCCAAGGCCACTGTGTGGAGTGGTGGAGGCTGTGCCGTGCGCAACCCAGCCAGCACAGCCGTAACTCACTTAATGTATTTCCCAGTGTAAACGTTGTTTTGAATTTTCAGAATTCTTTGAGTTCCCTTGGTTGCCTGTTATGAACTCCAGCCCATGGAAGCATAGTGTTCTTAGACCACAGATCTGAGGATCGATGGAGCCCACCGTCTCCTTGGGGTAGAGGTGTCTGTGGGGGAGGGACCCCTTCTCCTGCAGGCTGTGAGTTGCACCAGCTAATCTCAAGCCCCGGTGTGTGCTTCGTCCCACAGATCGGCCTGTTCGACCTGGAAGTGAACTGCCTCACCAAGATCCTCTTTGGTGCCCTGGTGGTGGTCTCGCTGGTCATGGTTGCCCTTCAGCACTTTGCAGGCCGTTGGTACCTGCAGATCATCCGCTTCCTCCTCCTGTTTTCCAACATCATCCCCATTAGGTAAGCAGGTGACGAGCTCAAGTTTGGCTGCTGTGAAGTTTTCTTCTCTTACTCATTCAAAGATGATGGTTCTGTGGCTTTTATTATTATTATTTTTTTTATTACTATTTTTTGAGATGAAGTTTTGCTCTTACCGCCCAGGCTGGAGTGCAGTGGCACTATCTTGGCTCCCTGCAACCTCCACCTCCCAAGTTCAAGGGATTCTCCTGCCTCAGCCTCCCGAGTAGCTGGGACTACAAGTATGTGTCACCCCATCCGGCTAATTTTTGTATTTTTAGTAGAGATGGGGTTTCACCATGTTGGCCAGGCTGGTCTCAAACTCCTGACCTCAGGTGATCTGCCTGCCTTGGCCTTCCAAATTGCTGGGATTACAAGGTGTGAGCTACCATGCCTGGCCGGCTTTTAGAAGGAGCAAATCTCTTTGTAAAGTGGGGACCAAGAGCAATCAGAGTCAGGAGTGTGAGCCACACCGAGGCTATAGCAGTGGAAAATCATGTTCTTCCACAAGCCATCCTTTCGTGAGTCAGAGATCTTTCCTTGCCTTGACCAGTCTATGCTAGGGATGCCACTTAGAGCTCCTGTCATCAGTGAGCTCTGCAAAGTTGATAGTGGCTTTTGGGACTGCTGTGTTGAGAAGGATTCTGAGCCTGTGTCTGGGCTCAAAGGGAAATGGTGTTGTGATTGACAGCAGTATCTGTCATAGATGTGCATTGGAAGCTTGGTAGTACATGCCAATCATTTGCCTACCTGATTTGGAGGTTGAATAAATGTTATTTATTTATTGATCTGAGACGGAGTTTCACTCTTGTTGCCCAGGCTGGAGTGCAATGGCTCGATCTTGGCTCAGGGAAACCTCTGCCTCCTGGGTTCAAGCAATTCTCCTGCCTCAGCCTCCCGAGTGGCTGGGATTACAGGCGCCTGCCACCACTCCCGGCTAATTTTTGTATTTTTGGTAGATACCGGGTTTCTCCATGGTTGGTCAGGCTGGTCTTGAACTCCTGACCCCAGGTGATCTGCCCGCTTTGGCCTCCCAAAGTGCTAGGATTAACAGGAGTGAGCCACTACACTTGGCCTGTTTGTTTTTAAGATGGAGTCTTGCTTTGTTGCTCAAGCTGGAGTGCAGTGGTGCGATCTCAGCTCACTGCAGCCTCCACCTCCTGGGTTCAAGCAATTTTCCTGCCTCAGCCTCCCAAGTAGCTGGAATTACAGGCTTCCGCCACCACGCCTGGCTAATTTTTGTATTTTTAGTAGAGACAGGGTTTCACCATGTTGGCCAGGCTGGTCTGAAACTCCTGATCTCAATGATCCACCCACCTTGGCTTCCCAAAGTCCTGGGATTATAGGCGTGAATCACTGAGCATGGCCTGGCTTTTTAAAGTGATAGAAATAATAGAATTTCATAGTAGAAAAAAATGAAGACCCATATTAGCAAAGGAATAAAATAAAAATCACCTCTGCTCTCACTACCAACTGGTAATCATTGTTAATACTTTGGGATGTATTTTTTTCTAGAGGGCTTTTGATTTTAGAAAAATGGGATTCTGGTCCACAGAGAATCTGCCTTTCTAAAAACACTGGAGCAGTGTGTTTGAAGTAACTTTTCACATCACATATGTGTCCCATCACGTTTTAGATCTGCTCTGTGATAGAACTTTAGCAATTTACTTTTTCCCATATTCTATGTTTGTTTTCTACTTTTCTCCCATAATAATCAATAAATATTAAACTACGTATCTTTTTTCCTGAAACTTTCAGTGTTTATAATCTCTCTTTTAGGCCAGGTGCGATGGCTCATGCTTATAATCTCAGCACTTTGGGAGCCTGAGGTGGGCGGATCATCTGAGGTCAGGAGTTTGAGACCAGCCTGACCAACATGGAGAAACTCCATCTCTACGAAAAATACAAAACTAGCTGGGTGTGGTGGTGGGCGCCTGTAATCCCACCTACTCAGGAGACTGAGGCAGGAAAATCGCTTGAACCCGGGATGGGGAGGTTGCAGTGAGCCGAGATTGTGCCACTGCACTTCAGCCTGGGCAACAAAAGTGAAACTCCGTTTCAAACAAACAAACGAGCAAAATAATCTCTCTTATACTTGATCTATTATATTTTGTCTTGCTATTTTGCATATTTAGATCATCTTGGTGAGAATTTGTCTTTTTCTGGGGGCAGAGATTGTGGTTTTGGGTACAACAGTGTGACAGGGACCGGGGGATTGTGCCCTAGTCAGTGTGCTTTTGATGGTGGATTCAGAGGACCAGTAGGTCCACTTTACCGACTTTAATGCTAGCAAAACAAGTATTCACGTTGCGATCTGAGTGACGGGGTTACCTTCAAAGTTCTGTCTGTAACATGATTGAAAATTAGTGAAACGACTCTCCATATGGCCCAGGGCTAGCCAGTGAAATGGCAAGCAATTTGATTAGTTTATATGATGATGAATTAATTTGAAGACTTCTGTTTATTTTTTTTTTAATAAAATTAAATTTCAAAATGAATATAATACATACAATGGAATACACTTTAGCCTTAAAGAGGAAGGAAATTCAAATTGAGCATGGTGGCTCATGCCTGTAATCCCAGCACTTTGGGAGCCCATGGTGGGCGAATCATCTGAGTTGGGAGTTCAAGAGCAGCCTGACTAACATGGAGAAACTCTGTATCTACTAAAAATACAAAATTAGCCAGGCGTGGTGGTGTATGCCTGTAATCCCAGCTACTCAGGAAGCTGAGGCAGGAAAATCACTTGAACCTGGGAGGTGGAGGTTCCTGTGAGCCGAGATTGTGCCATTGCACTGCATCCTGGGCAACAAGAGCGAAACTGTCTCCAAAAAAAAAAAAAAAAAAAAAAAAAGGGAAGGAAATTCTAATACGTCTTATGATGTGGGTGAACCTTGAGAACGTTTTGCTAAGCAAAGTAAGCCTCCCAAAAGCTAGAAAAAGTGTATGATTTAACTCTTATGGAGTATCTAAGGTAGTTAAATTCCAGCCACATGTGGTGGCTAACACCTGTAATCCCAGCACTTTGGAAGGCTGAGGTGGGTGGATTGCTTGAGTCCAGGAGTTTGAGACCAGTCTGAGGTCTGGGTAACATGGCGAAACCTCATCTCTACTAAAAATACAAAAAATTAGCCAGGTGTGGTGGTGCATGCCTGTAATCCCAGCTACTCTAGAGGCTGAGGCACAATAATTGCTTGAACCCGGGAGGCGAAGGTTGTGGTAGCCAGCATAGCGTCTCTGCACTCCAGCCTGGGCATCAGAGTGAGATTTGTCTAAAAAAAAAAAAAGTCATCAGATTCAGAGAAACATAAGTAGAATGCTGGTTGCCAGGGGCTGCTGGGATTAGAGTTGATGGGGAATGGGGTGTTCTTGTTGGATGAGTGTGGCATTTCAGTTTGGGAGGATGAAAGAAGTCTGGAGATGGATGATGCTGATGGCTGATAGCAATGTGACTATGCCCTATACTATAGAATGGTAAATTTCCTGTCATGTACATTTTACCACAATTAGAAAAAACGAATGTAGCATCAAAAATATATTAGCTTCTGGGATCAGTAATTTTTCTAAAAGGTAAGATGGAGACAGCTACCCTTTCTGTATTTTAAGTGACTTCAGTGTATAACATGAGCTTCATGACAGTAATGGATTTGTTCAGTGTGTGACTTGTCACCATGTCGAATCTGTGGCTGCAGCTCTGGCAGCGTGCTTCTGTAGGGGGTGAGTCTGGATGCCGTGGCACAAATGTGTTTAGAGTCTGCATGTTTATAAAGGTAGGAGGAGCCTTACCTCTGTCCTGTTAACCTGTTTGCTCTGGTTTTGTGACTAGTTTGCGAGTGAATCTGGACATGGGCAAGATCGTGTACAGCTGGGTGATCCGAAGGGACTCGAAAGTCCCCGGGACTGTGGTTCGCTCCAGCACGATCCCCGAGCAGCTGGGCAGGATCTCGTACTTACTCACAGACAAGACAGGTGAGCTGCTTTCTGGGACCTGCATGGGATTCCTGGTGAGAGAAAGGGCCTCAGGGCTTTAGTTGAAACTCTTGAGCTCTCTCTCTGGACATATGAGAGGTGGGTGTTGCTGCTGTTTTAGACTCTTCATCCCTTGATGAAGATTGAATATTTGAAGATGACAATACAAGCAGCAAAGCCTTACAGAGGGTGAATTATGTGCAGAGTACAGTCCTGGGGAGTTTCTTTTTCTTTTCTTTTCTTTTTTATTTTGAGATGGAGTCTTATTCTTATTGCCCATGCTGGAGTGCATTGGTGCCATCTTGGCTCACTGCAACTTCTGCCTCCCAGGTTCAAGTGATTCTTCTGCCTCAGCCTCCCAAGTAGCTGGAATTAAAGGCATGCCCCACCACACCTAGCTAATGTTTGTGTTTTTAGTAGAGACGGGGTTTCGCCATGTTGGTCAGGCTGGTCTCCAACTCACGATCTCAGGTGATCTGCCCGCCTCGGCCTCCCAAAGTGCTGGGATTATAAACGTCAGCCACCACTCCTGGCCAGTCCTGGGGAGTTTCTGTGCAGTCACTCATTCAGTCCTCATCCGAACCTTGAGACTTAGATAGTGTTTCTGTCTCCCTTCTGCAGATGCGGAAATGTGACCCAGAGAGGGTAAGTGACTTGTCATGGGCACATAGTAGCCGAAGCAAACTTTAACTCAGGTAGTCAGGCTTCATCTCGGACCGTGCCCTGATACTGCTGTACAACTCAATGCTTGTCAAGGCATTAGGCCAGGCATCCCCAAACTACAGCCTGCGGGCCGCATGCGGCCCTCTGAGGCTATTTATCCGGCCCCCCGCCACACTTGAGGAAGGGGCATCTCTTTCACTGGTGGTTAGTGAGAGGAGCACAGTATGTGGTGGCTCTCCAACGGTCTGAGGGACAGTGAACTGGCCCCCTGTGTAAAAAGTTTGGGGACGCCTGCACTAGGCTATCGAAGTGGCGAAGAGCAAGGATTGGGGATGGGAAGATCTGGTTTAAGCCTCATCTCTACCATTTAATGTCCATGGGGTAGAAGAGAAGCCAATGCAGAGATCCTGGACAGCTCACCAAATCAGAGAAAAATGAGGTTTCTGGAAGGAGACCAACCAGGAAAGTTCTGGACAAGTCAGCATTGGGACCCTCTGGGTGGTCTCTGTAGGGCTCTGCCATTGGGGATATGTCTGTCTGCTCAAGGGTCAGAATGCTTCAAGATAGAATCTGATTGCTCTAGTGTATGTCATTTGTCAACTTCTCGGCCAATGGAATGGGCCAGGCCCCTGACTGACAGTCCTCTTGGGCCACCTTAGGGAATGGGCGTGGATGGGTAATTTCCCCTAGGAAACCCAGGATGCCATTTTCAAAAGGGGAAAGGTATTCTAGGCAGGAAACACACTGCAGTTGTTTATCCTAGCAGGGGACAGTACTGGCCGCAGCGTGTGACATACAGTAGACTCTCCAAAGGTGGTGGCTGTCATTACTGCTAAAAATAACAAACTGGCCAGGCGCGGTGGCTCAGGCCTGTAATCCCAGCACTTTGGGGAAGCTGAGCCGGGCGGATTATGAGATCAGGAGATTGAGACCATACTTGCCAACATGGTGAAACCCTGTCTCTACCAAAAATACAAAAATTATCTGGGCGTGGTGGCTTGTGCCTGTAATCCTAGCTACTCGGGAGGCTAAGGCAGGAGAATTGCTTGAACCTGGGAGTCACAGGTTGCAGAGAGCCAAGATCGCATCACTGCACTCCAGCCTGGCGACAGAGCTAGACTTTGTTTCAAAAGAAAATAAATACATAAAAAATATAATAATAACAAACATCCTGAGAGAAAGGCCAGCCACTCACTTGTCTCGTGTTTCAGGCACTCTGACCCAGAACGAGATGGTTTTCAAACGGCTTCATCTCGGAACGGTGGCCTACGGCCTCGACTCAATGGACGAAGTGCAAAGCCACATCTTCAGCATTTACACCCAGGTAAAGCCTTTTGTTTCTATACCTTTTTTTTACAGTTATATGGAGATATAATTCACAGTACCATACATTCATCCATTTCAAGAGTATCATTGGTTGTGTTTTTTTTAAGCATATTCAGATTTGAGCAACTATCGCTGCAATCGATTTTATGTTCACCCCAAAAGAAACCCTGTATGCTTCAGCAGTCTCTCCCCAAGTCTTCCCAATACCTCCTTATTTATTTGCTTTTTTAAGCGAAGTTTTGCTCTTGTTGCCCAGGCTGGAGTGCAATGGCACAATCTCAGCTCACTGCAACCTCCGCCTCCCAGGTTCAAGCGATTCTCCTGCCTCAGCCTCCCAAGTAGCGGGAATTACAGGCACCCACCACCACACCAGGCTGATTTTGTATTTTTAGTAGAGATGGGGTTTCTCCACATTGGTCAGGCTGGTCTCGAACTTCCAACCTCAGGTGATCTGCCCACCTTGGCATCCCAAAGTTCTGGGATTATAGGCATGAGCCACCGCACTCAGGCAGTACCTGCCTTCTAAACCCATGACCCCCATGCTTCCTTTACACTTGGAATAAAATTACAGTTGGGGTCCTTCCTCATCTTCCTCATCTTCAGGGCTAATCTGTTCTACTGTGGTGCCAATGGACCTTAGGGAAAACCTGTGAGAAAATTGTATGCCCAGTAAATAGTACCAGAAGGAGCCTGCTGGCTGATTATACTTCTAGTTATGCACGTGTTTATGTTTTCCTTCTCCCTGGCTATAAGCCAGAGCACCAATAATGAATGATCTTCTTGTGAAATAAACATGACATTATTGATTAATTTTAGTTTCTCATCTACATTCAACTCAGCAATCACTGGGAAGAAATCCGTTTATCAGAGATGACTTGCAATATATCTGTTCCTACCTTTATTTTTCTACCAAGTTTTTCAAAACCGGTCATTTTTCAGAAAAAGTAATACTGGCAAATATGCTAAGATTCCTAAAATGTTAGACCGGTGGGTCCCCATCTTGACTGTGCATCAGAACTGCTGGTGATGTTTCAAACAAAACAGAACCAAGTCAAGACAACATTTATTTGGCCTTGGTGCCCTGGAGATTCTGATTCATTAAGACTTAGGGCAGGGCCTGGCTCTGGGTTTTAAAAGGAAGACAACTAAAAAAAAAAAATAGTAAAATAAAAAATAAAAGGAAGACAAACACACCCCTTGCTAATTCTGAGGCCCATCCAAGGCCGAACCAGACCACAGTAGACCAGCTCCATTTAAGCACTGGTCTGGAGATGGCAAGAGGAGAAGGAGGTTATGTGTTGCTTAAATTTGTCGAAATGGGGACCATTTCCATAGTCAGAAGACCAGTAAGTAATATGAATGAAGTGGCCAGGTGTAGTGGCTCACGCCTTTAATCCCAGCACTTTGGGAGGCAGAGGCAGATGGATCACAAGGTCAGGAGTTTGAGATCAGCCTGGCCAACATGGCGAAACCCCGTCTCTACTAAAGAATACAAAAAATTGGCCGGGTGTGGTGGCAGGCACCTGTAATCCCAACTAGTGGGAGGATAAGGCAGGAGAATCGCTTGAACCCAGGAGGTGGAGGTTGCGGTGAGCTGAGATCACGCCATTGCACAGAGGAAGACTCTATCTCAAAAAAAAAAAAAAAAAAAAAGAATGAAATATATCTGTATACAGGTTAAAGACAGAATCCCTGAATACTTCTTATATAGTCATAATTGACATTTAATTTTCTGGAACATCTGCCAGTGGGCTGGATTTCTAGCCTGTCTCCTGAAAATGGCAGAGCAGGGGACATCATGACTGTGGGAGTACGTGCTAAGTTAGAACAGCTGACTTGACACAGTTCATGTCACCAGCTACCAGTGACAAAACCCTTGCTGCTCTCCCAAGGCTCCGTGGGAAGGCATGATAGCTGTCCTCCAAATGGATCTATGAACCTTTTTCAAAGATGTACTTTAGTACTATCTATTTATTTGTTTTTGAGACGGAGTCTCGCTCTATCGCCTAGGCTGGGAGTGCAGTGGCTCACTGCAAACTCCACCTCCCGGGTTCAAGCAATTCTCCTGCCTCAGCCTCCTGAGTAGCTGGGATTACAGGCATGTACCACCACACCCAGATAATTTTTGTATTTTTAGTAGAGATGGAGTTTCACCACCTTGGCCAGCATATCTTGATTCCTTGACCTCATGGTCTGCCTGCCTCAGCCTCCCAAAGTGCTGGATTACAGATGTGAGCCACCGGGCCTGGCCTACTTTAGCACTGTTGAGAAATCACAGCTGGGCACACAGTGGTTCATGCCTATAATCCCAGCACTTTGGGAGGCTGAAGTGAGTGGATCACGAGGTCAGGAGTTTGAGATCAGCCTGACCAAGATGGTGAAACCCATCTCTATTAAAAATACAAAAATTAGGCCGGGCGCGGTGGCTCAAGCCTGTAATCCCAGCACTTTGGGAGGCCGAGGCGGGTGGATCATGAGGTCAAGAGATCGAGACCATCCTGGTCAACAAGGTGAAACCCCGTCTCTACTAAAAATACAAAAAAGTAGCTGGGCATGTGGCATATGCCTGTAATCCAAGTTACTCAGGAGGCTGAGGCAGTAGAATTGCCTGAACCCAGGAGGCGGAGGTTGCGGTGAGCCGAGATCGCGCCATTGCACTCCAGCCTGGGTAACAAGAGCGAAACTCCGTCTCAAAAAAAAAAAAAAAAAAAAAAAAAAAATTAGCTGGGCATGGTGTGGTGGGCGCCTGTAGTCCCAGCTACTCAGGAGGCCGAGGCAAGAGAATTGCTTGAACGCGGGAAGCAGAGGTTGCAGTGAGTCGAGATCATGCCACTGCAGTCTAGCATGGGTTACAGAGCAAGACTCCATCTCAAAAAAAAAAAAAGAAAGAAAGAAATCACAAGGAGCTTCCCTGGACAGGGAGGATGAGCTGCACAGCCCCTGTGTCCTCTCTGTCTCTCTGACTGTCTTCTTTAGCATGGTAATTTGGCGTTGGCGTCTCTGGGGCTCGGTGCTGGACCCTGTTATGTGGCTCCCTGGGTGGACCCTCTCCCTGCTTCCATCGCCCCGTGGATGCTGGTGGCTCTGTCTCCATCTCCATCTCTAGGCCTGACCTGGAGCTTTGGATTATAACGTAGCCAAATGTTTGGCCTTGCTGCGTGTGGCCCATAAGGATGCTGTACCCAGGACCTGTCCTGACTTTCTTCCCTCACCCCTCAAACCTGTTCTCTCCCAGTGCTCCTCGTCTCAGTGCACGCCACGGCCTCCATCCCGGTGGCTCCCATCACCCCCGATGACAGCCTCTGCCCTCCCCCCGTGCCTGCCCCCACCGGATCACTGGATCACCCCTTCACCCCCGATGACAGCCTCTGCCCTCCCCCCGTGCCTGCCCCCACCGGATCACTGGATCACCCCTTCACCCCCGATGACAGCCTCTGCCCTCCCCCCGTGCCTGCCCCCACCCGATCACTGGATCACCCCTTCACCGCCGATGACAGCCTCTGCCCTCCCCCCGTGCCTGCCCCCACCCGATCACTGGATCACCCCTTCACCCCCGATGACAGCCTCTGCCCTCCCCCCGTGCCTGCCCCCACCCGATCACTGGATCACCCCTTCACCCCCGATGACAGCCTCTGCCCTCCCCCCGTGCCTGCCCCCACCCGATCACTGGATCACCCCTTCACCCCCGATGACAGCCTCTGCCCTCCCCCCGTGCCTGCCCCCACCCGATCACTGGATCACCCCTTCACCCCTGATGACAGCCTCTGCCCTCCCCCCGTGCCTGCCCCCACCCGATCACTGGATCACCCCTTCAGCCTTTTGGTTTCTTTCTTTCTTTTCTTTCCTTCCTTCCTTTTCTTCATTTTCTTTTTCTTTTTTTAAGTAACAGAGTGTTACTCTGTCTCCCATGTTGGAGTGCAGGGGTGCACTCACAACTCACTGCAACCTCAAACTTCTGGGCTCAAGCAATCTTCCCATCTCAGCCTCCCAGGTAGCTGGGACTAGAAGTGTGTGTTGAGTATGCACCACCACGCCTGGCTAATTTTGCATATTTATTTATTTTTATTTGTTTATTCATTTTTTTGAGACAGTCTTGCTCTGTCACCCAGGCTGGAGTGCAGTGGCACAATCTCAGCTCACTACAACCTCCGCCTACTGGATTCAAGCCATTCTCCCGCCTCAGCTTCCCCAGGAGCTGGGATTACAGGTGTCTGCCACCACGTCTGGCTAATATTTTTTTGTATTTTGAGTAGAGCTGGGGTTTCACCATGTTGACCAGGCTGGTCTTGAACTCCTGACCTCGTGATCCACCCGCCTCGGCCTCCCAAAGTGTTGAGATTATAGGCGTGAGCCACCTCACCCAGCCTCATTTTAATTTTTTTTGGTCTCACTGTGTTGCCCAGGCTGGTCTTGAACTCCTGGGCTCAAGTGACCCTTTCACCTCCCAAAGGCTTCCCAAAGTGTTGGGATTACAGGCATGAGCCCCCCTGCCTGGCCACCTTTGGCCTTTTGTCTTCATCCCTTCTCGCTCAGCTGAGGCGACCCCCTCCCTCGTCTGTCTCTCGTGACCACCTGCACAGCAGCTTCCCGGCTTCCCTTCTTGTCCTCCTCTCGGAAGCATCGGAGCCTCTCGGAACCATCAGCTCCGAGGCGGGGTCTGAGACTTCCAGTGGAATCTAGGCTTGGTCTTCATTCCCTTCCCTTCCCAAGGTTAAGCCTTTCAGGCAGGGTGAGCTACCTCATTTCTGTGTCTTAAATTAGACCCCTCCCTCGGAGTCACCAACTTCAAGTGCCCACCAGGCTCCCTCTCGAGGGAGCTCACATACTGGATTGTCATGCATATCAGCACCCAGCTAGATGTCTGTGTAGCTCCCAGCCCCCTCTTAGCCGTGGCTGACTGTTGATGATTATATTAGACAGCTTCATAGGTGGCGGTGTGTACGTCCGGTGGGAGTCACACCCATGCCGTATTGCTGGTATTTTTAAGAGCTCCTGGTG